TGCAGACCAATAAAAAGTAAATAAATTAAGCAAATTATTCTTTTTTAAAAAAGAGTAAACATCTTAGATATCCAGGGACAAATGTGAAGTGTTTAACAGTAGTCTGTTAGGTCAATTTTCTTGTATGGATCCAAAGTTCTCTTTATGGAGATACTTCTCCTGTTGGGATCTTGGTAGCCAGTTGTATCCATCTTAGACACACGTAGGCTTCCCTCCATCTCTTGACCTTCTAATAGCTGAGACTGATTAACAGGATATACCCCAAGATTTCCAGCCCCCCCCAATACCATCTGTGGCACCACATCTTCATAACACCTGTCATTCTGGCATTTAGAAACAGCCCACCCTTAGGCTGTTACTCAAGCTATGTGTGTGTTAGGCATGCTCAGTCCCAGTGGTGGTAGCCAATCCTATAGAAAGTGAGATGACCTTTAAGAGTCAAAGAAATGTGTTGTTCCTGTTCCCAGGGACTTTAGAGCATGACTCCTAAGGCTTAGGGAAGGTGTTGAAATGACAGCTCTTGTTCTTGTTTTGTAATTTGCCTCCAAGAGATTTGAGGGTTTTTTGGTTTTTAAAATATTTAAATTTTTTAATTTTATGTGTATGTGTGTCTGCACTTAAGCCTGTATACCACATGAGTGAAGGTTCCTGAGGAGTCCAGAAGGGGGTGTCAGATCTCCTAGATCTGCAGTTACAAGAGGTAGTAAGCCTTTTGATGTAGGGAAATGAACCTCGGTCCTCTGAGTGCCTTAACCACTGAGTCATCTCTCCAGCCCCTGAGATTTGAATTTTAAGGGATGGAGTCTCAACCTTTATCCTGTCTTTGGAGAAAGGGACAAATATGGTTTGTCTTTAACTATGACAGTGAAACTTTACAAGTTCTTGATGACAAACATACAAGGAATCTTTAGAGACCCTTTACTCCTTGTTCAAATTCAAATTTGTGATGTGAGAGAGGTATGTTTTACTGTACCATTCCTTAGTTAAAATGCAAGGGATAAGGAATGTTCTTCCACATTCTAAGTTTCATACAAATTACATGTTCCCCTCCCCCTAATACTTTTAGCTAACTACCCCAACTTATAGTATTAAAACAATTTTTATCATTTACATCTATCTATCTATCTATCTATCTATCTATCTATCTACCTACCTACCTACCTACCTATTTAGTGTTTGCATACCCAATGCACATATAGAGAGCAAAGGACAACTTTCAAAATCAGAGGTTTTGCCTTTTATTGTGTAAATCTTGGGAATCAAACTCAGGTCATCAGGCTTGGCAGCAAGTGCTTTTACTGCGCAATCTTGTCTAAGAAGTATTTTTCTGAAACTCAAATGTTATGGCTAAGCTCCTACTAGCCTTTATCTCATCCCTGCCCTTCTGTAGCCTTACCACTTTCCCAGAAGGCTGTGAGGCAACCTTTTGGAAGTTTTTCTATTTTTCTACACATATGTAAATAGCTGTGGAATTGTGTTGCTTTCATCATCGTGCTATGGGCCACTTTTATATCTTGCTTTGTTTATTACCCATCTTGTATTTTTGTGGGAGACATAAATATGAGCCTTATGTTTTAAATGCTGCAAGTAATGGTTCATATTATGGATGAGCCATCTTTTGTTTAACTACTCCCCTAGAGATATTTTCCAACTGTGAGAATAGTCACAGTCAATAAAACAATACAAAAACCAAATTTTATAGTTGAACTAGCCCCAAACTAAGCCCAAACAACAGAAGCATACTAATTTACTACATAATAATTTGAGCATATGGTCTACTTGCTCCATAGTCCTTTATCTGTAAAATGGGACTAAAAATAGCGTTCATTTCATAGAAAGAAATAGATGAATGACACTGCAAAGTGAGTGCCCAGCTTCTGTTGAATGCTGTGCAAATGCGTGCTGTGTGCTGAGGGTACCGTGCTTGGACGATACTGTGCTGATCTCACAGAGCTGCTGTGACCTTTGCTGTGTGTGTTATCCTTCATCTATTTTGTAAGCATCTCAGAGAAGCAGTGAGTTTTCCAAGCTCTGTTTATAGTACCATCACAGACATAATTTATCCTATTACATGAAGTCTCTCTGTGAAAACAAGAGCAATTCATTTCTTGCCCAGAAATAGATAGACTTCTTTTAGGTAGTCAGTTTAATTTTCTAGAACTGACCCATCTGTTGGGATCTCACTATGTAGCCCAGGCTGCCTTCATATGATCCTCCTTACTGAGCCTCCCAGCCTCCTGTGTGTACAGCTTTTTTTTTTTTAAACACATTGTGTTCCTTTGCTTCTCCTGGCTGCTAGAATGGAGCCTGTGCCTTCAGCGATTCCTACTGTGTGCTGTGAACTCTGGAACAGGTATTTTCTGTACTAACTGAGTGTCTTACCATGGCTTTTGGGCCAGTGAGTACAAATGGTTGCTGCAGTGGGTGCCTGTATAGGTAGACCTTGTATTATAATGAGGGACTAGTTTGAATGATTTTTGTTATCAACTCAGCTAGTAGATACTGTTCCCAGAAACCACCAGAGGCCCAGACAGAAGAGTGTTAATGCAAGAACCACCTTGTATGAGTGCCACCTGCCTGGATTTCCTAGGTCTCTCACTGTCAGGGGTCAGAATTCAGGCAGAGCATCAGTGGTAGCCATTGTGGGAGAATAAGAGCCTTTATTGTTTATGGACATGGGCTGTGAGGCACATGTAGGGGAATCACAGGAAGATTCAAGAACAAAAGCAGAGAGAATTTGGCAGGATCTGGGCATCATGCAAACTGGTTTCCCATGGGAAGCCTTAATTGGTAGGTTTAGAGAGAGCAGATGTTAGATCCAGCCAAAGAGATAGCAGCCACTTTACATTTGTTGGCAAGTATCTAAATATTGCCTCTGCAGAGAACTGTGGGAAAAGAGGCTTATGAGTTATCACTGGTCTCCCAGTCAGAGCCATTCTGGCTTTGTAGAGTATTGCAAACTGTCAGAGGTGACTGAGCCTTACTGCTGATATGGGAAAGTTAGGCTTGTATTTAAAATAGATGTTAACAGCTGGGCGTGGTGGTACATGTCTGTGATCCCAGTACTTGGGAGGTTAAGGAAGGATTGGCAGTGAGTTCAGAGCCAGCTTGGGCTACATGGTGAGGTAAAGGCCAAACTGAGATACAGGGTTCAACCCTGTCTCACACAAAACAAGCAAAAATGATGTTGTAATGGGAACATAAAATAGTAGCAGTTACTGTAGGGGCAGACTATAAATAACTGAATACAGCGCCGTGGCCATGGGAGCTTGCTGGAGTCTTGTGGCCAGATCTACCCCTTAGCCCTTGGCCTTCTCTTATCCACTTCCTGTTGGACAAGTTTTTACTCTTCAGATGAATAGTAGAGTCATTTATAAATATGGCAGTTTTGACCTTAGAATCAAACATCCATTGTCATTTGGGTGACTAGCAACTTTCCTCTCTGTCTTCAGAAAAACCTTAATGAGTCCTTTAGCTGGAGAATTTGTCCTGCTGATAAGAGTTGTCATCTTATCCAATTCAGGAAAAAGAAAAAAAAAAAAAAAAGCTGATTGTGACCCATCCCTGGATGCTAGGGAAAGTCTGCCATGTGGGAGTACCTAGAGTTTTAGCTACGCAAGCAACAATGAACTTCTACAAAGAAGACATTGTGATTATGAAGGCCCTTTGTCTATGGCATGAAAGAGAGACTGTAACAGTGGATGAGATGGCTTGAGCTGGACTGGAAGGAAAGACAAGACAATGGTGTCACCAGGTGCCATGCACCAACTGTATATGACACAGCTGTCTGGGAAGTGCCACAGGCTCAGCCCACTACTGTCCCTTCAACAGAAACCCAGTGCTTCTCTTTCTAGTGAGGCTTAGGCCCCATGCTGTTCTAGGCTGGGATGAAGGGCGGAGAAGGTATTCTTCCTCACACAGAGAGGTTGGAGGGCCCATCCTGTAAGTTGAAATGTGGGGAGATAACTTCATGATAAGTCAGGCCTTTCTGAAGCTGCCCGTTTGCACAATTGTGCTTTTCTCTGGTGATAAACACCTTCCTCAGGAATTGATCACTGACACTAGACCAGCCCAGATTATGAGGATAACAGCTTTCGCACTGAGCAGTGAGATGTACGGCTTCAGACGGGCACAGCTGCTTGTGGGCCTCATTCAGCATGGAGGAAGTAAGCACGGGTGGGCTGGGTCCCAGCTGAGTGCCATTAGTAGCTCTTCCACCCCTCCCTGCCAGACTCTGTGAAGTGACAGCTCCTGCAGCTGGCTCAGGTGTAGGAGTCTATCATCCTTTATGATCTGTACCCCTATCTTTCCTTTTCTTTCTAGTTTCTAGTTACTTTACATTTATTCTTTTTCCTCTGTTTCACTTCACTCTTTGAGATCCTCTGGGTGTTACTTATTTTGATCTCTCTCAAGATTGTGTCATTGTAGCTTTCTGCTGTCAGCCTAAGCACTGCTGAGACACGCTATCATCAGGCAATGCTCTGATCATGCCTGGGTTTGGAGTGGACCTTGCAGTTGGCTTCCTCAGTTCTCTGTATGACTGTGATGTTCAGGGTAGAATGAATCTGCAGAACCCAAATAGAGAAGTTGAGGATTCGAGATTGTTGCCCTACTTTCCCCCACATACATCCTTGGCAAGTGGTGCTACTCTAGTCTCCACCCAAGCAGACCCTTCATGGGCTGTGCCTCTGGCTGAACCAGACCCAGCATGCCCCAGCCCATCAGGTCAAGCCCTGCTGGTTGGTTGGAAGCACCACGGAGGCCGTTGCAGCCAAGGATGAAGTCATCAGGAGTGGTTTCACCATCTTCTAGGACACACCTTTTAGTGGCATGTCATCTGGTCCTCCGAGCTGTCTTGAAATCAGGTCTCCTGTTCTGGGATTGGCTTTGCACACAGCATCACAGAAACTGTCCTTACTAAGCACACATGCTGTGTGCTGCATTTGGAAGTGGGCAGTGTTTTTCTAGCCCTTTAAGTGTGTGTTTTTCCCCCTCTTCAGTCCCAGGTAAATCACCACACTGCTGCTAGTAATGAAACCTACCAGGAACGCCTGGCACGGCTAGAAGGAGATAAAGAGTCCCTCATACTACAGGTGAGTCCCTCTTGCTCCATAGCTTCCCCAGGAAAGGGAGGCCCAGGGGGAGTTCTCTGTTGGAAAGTGTTGGGCTGCGAATCCATTTATTTATTTTGTGCTGCCCAGCATCTATCTGCACACTAAAATCCCTGTGGGCAGGCTGAAACTGGGTGCTAGCAATGAGCAAAATGGGCCCAGTCATCCAGGAGCCTGTAAGTCTAAGGGAGATGAGTACATCCTCTGTCACTAATAAAACAGCCTTGAGTGACACAGGCCTCAGACTGCTAATGGAATCAGGTCCATGAGTCTGAAGCTGGGTCAAGACAGACCACTTGCCTGCCCTGGTAACATGGGCTAGGCCTTTGCTGGCTCTCTTGTTCTATGAGAGGAGCGAGCTTTTTGAAATTTCTTGTAGCGAAAAGGTACCAAAACAGCCTCTGGCTTTCAAAAGTCCTTCTTTCTTCGTTGGATAGAACCTTAGGTGTTCTTCCAGAGAGCCTGCACTGCAGCAGGAGCTCTTTGCTGTATTATCCCTCAAATGCACAAATATATTTAGCAAGTGGGTATTCAGGGTGTGCTCTGCATTACATATGAATTGACAGTTTGGAGAATGTAGAGATTACTGTTCTAATTTCAGCTTCTTAAAAAGCTTGAAGAATGATGAATAAGTTGGGGATGGAGGTGGGGATGCAGTTGGTAGAATGCCTGATATGAGTGAAACTCCTGGATTCTATCCCCAGGGCACTGAAATGATGCATACCTGTAATCCCAGCCATCTCGTTTTATTTTATAAACATAAGATTAATCAAGTCTTTTGGAAAGTGAAAATTCTGAGAATTTCAAGAAGCAGATGCAGTTAACATCTGTCTTTTGGTTGTACCTCTCTCATCTCTTTTAAATGATTATGTTCATTCCAAACATAATTTTGTAAACTAGTTTTATTTTTTTAATTTGCTTCATTGACCTTTAAAATAACTAATCATTATAAAGTAATTGAATATATGATTTATCAGATACGGGTTTTGGATCCTGTGACTGTATCAGTGAATAAAATGGTGAGAGAGAGCACAAACTGGAACCAATACCAAAATATTTCAGGTAGTGCTAAATACCAGGGAGAAAAATAAATGGAAATGAGGCATGTGCACTTTGGAGTTCCCTGGCAGGAGGAAGCCAGGGAGGGACCCACAGATACCTGGAGGTGTGCATTCCAGGCAAAGGAGCTGGTCAGCCCAGCCACCCACAGAGGTAGAGTGTCCTTGGTGTGTGGACAGAACAGTAAGGGGCTGTTGTGACTGAAGTCCCTGAAAAGAAGGGGTGAGAGCCCCCTTGGGGGTGGGTAGCAGGGGCCTGCTTTTATAGCTCAGGTCCCTTGAGGGATGTTCAATTTGAAACTTCATCTCCAAGACATGATCCATGAAAGACAGTCCAGCTTAGAATTGTGTAGCAATTCGCAGTATAAATTTGCAAACTTTTGAACCAGGACCCTTCGTGATTGAAACAACACACTGCTATTTAGAGGAAATTACAATTAATAAAGAAGTCCCTATGTAATAATGCTCCCTTTCACGGCTGTTTCTGTTTTTACAAATTCTTGACTAATCCCTGTTTAAACAATTGGAACACAATCAGAGAGTTGGTTGACTAAGAAAGGTGAAAGTTGACTCTCACGGTTTCTTTTCTGCTAGAAGCTGTGGGCACACCATCAGGAACTCTTCCATTCTCAATTCTGCCCTGTTCAATAGTGGCCTGTGGAGCTGGTTTGGAGATTGTTAGCAGGGCACAGTCTCTTGTGTAACTCCTACAGTTGAGTCAGACTGAATGAGTCGGAGCCCTTGGCTCAGAATAAGTTTTCCTGGATCTATTTGTAGAAGAACAAGATTAATTTCGGTCCCCTCCCAATACCTGAATTTATGTTTAATATAGGGCTCAAAATTATTAAAGAATCAAGATGGAATCCTAAAATCTTTAGAGCCAGTTTCCATACCTCCTGACTCACCCCCTGCAGCCCCATGTCTTTGTTCTTCTGTATAGCTGACCTGTGACTGTACTCAGCTGCTCCCTAAGTATGGTGCAGCTTTATAAATTTTATTCTTTGTATTAAGACCAACCATAAAACACCTTCCCAAACAGAAATCCCAAATCCCCGGAAGCACAGCCATTCTCACTCTTGAAAGTGGAGTTACTAGTGGAAAAGACCAGTGCTGCGAAGGGTGTTTAACAAGGATCACAACCAAACAAAACAACAGGACTAGAGACATGGCTTAGCAGTTCAGAGCACCAAGAGTTCTTCAGAGGGCCTGTGTTTGATTCCCAGCTCCCACAGTAGTCTCAGTTCGGGGTATCTGACACTGTCTTCTGTCCTCTGCAGGCACTGCACACACATGCATGCAGACATACACATACACATAAAATTAAAAATATTGACAGTAAAACAAACACATGTACAAATGTTGTTTAAATGGGCCTAGTCAGTGGAAGGAGCCCGTCTTTGGATTATTGAATTGTCAGCACACCCACATGCACACAAACTTCATCAGCTTCAAGTGTTTCAATCATTCACTCATTATTTGAGTCTAGAAGTACAATGTATAAAGTTGACAGGATCATTTAAATGTGTGCCTTCGAGAATGGGAACTTTCTAATTCATAAAATTCATTTAGACACTCATAAATGAACTTAGATTAACTTTTTCAGGCTTCATTAATCATTACAGAATGGGAAATTAACTAGAATAACCTATATATAAAGGACCATATCTTCAATGAAAAAGATATAAATTTATTGTTCATTGATTTCTTCAGTTTTAGAAGGTCAGCTATGATCCTTCATCTTCATGTATGGAATTATCTCATAATAAATAAACGAAAGGATCCTAGGGGTCAGTTGGCATATAGAAGAGCTATTAAAACAGTTACAGTATTATATAGAGCATAATTTAAATGTATTTTTCTTAATATTTTCATAGACATTCTCAGGTTTTCCTCAGGAAAAAAACTGCCACGTGTGTGCATGTGGCTGTGGTGTTTGTATGACTTGGAGTCATGTTTTGACCTGTAAAGTACAGAAACCTTTCTGGAGCCAAGTTTGTCAGTGCTAATACATGCCCTTTACGTCCCACATTCCTTAATTACTTCCAAACACTGGCTTGATAGGTGAGTAGTCTCCACACCTGAATGAGAGAGGTTAGGTCATTGGTTGGTTTCCATAAAGGTTTGGACAGCTCTTCCCATGAGGTGGCAGAGCCCTGGCAAGAGCTGAGATATGCCTTGAAGTCAGGCTGCCCTATTAGAGAGATTAGGAGCAGGAGTCCAACCCAGAGGCAGCCCTCATGACTCTTGGGTAGGTGCTTTCCTTTCGAGTCTGTCAAGAGCAAGAAATGTGACCAACGTCATTGAGGCAGTGGCTAAAATTCCCTGGTAAGGTGAGATTTTAACTGGAGTTGCCTTTCTCCGGTACACTTTCTCAACCTCACTCACCCTAAAGGAAGGCCTTCTGTCAGGTGAGTCTCAGTGGGCTGCTATCACAGTTCACCCACCCTACAGTGGGGACTTCCCTGCCTCATACACAGTCCAGATCCTTCACTGTTGTTTATGCTCCATAATAGGTGAGCGTCCTCACAGACCAAGTGGAAGCCCAAGGAGAGAAGATTCGGGACCTTGAAGTGTGTCTGGAAGGACACCAGGTGAAACTCAATGCTGCCGAAGAGATGCTTCAGCAGGTACGGGGCAAGTGGAGTAGAGGGCTTTGGGCCTGAAGCAGCTCTGGTGTTAAATGGCTCTTTACAGGCTCCTACTTACTCTCCCATGATGCCTGGAGGTGGGGTTGGCTGTGTACTGTGCAATGTTTAGACAGCAGGTGAAACCAACCTGAACGTTGAAGGCGGGGCTGCCCAGTGGAGAATAACTTGTTGAGCTGGTTAGGCAGAGTCCCAGGAGCACTTTCTTTCTGCCGGCCATGTCATCTTATCTTATCATAGAAGCTGTGGTCTGTCAGGGGTGGCATCTGGGCTTGTAGAAAGTCAACTTGTCAGCTTATTTTCTGCCTTTTCCCCCACCCCTTACTCTCATCATTCCCTCTGTAGTTACTTCTGATTAAAAACTATCACACAAATGCTATCTTACTGTAATTTAGTAGGCATCAAAAAGGAAAGCAATAGTTAGCTGCTTCCTTACTTTGTAAATAGAGTCCTCTCCGTATATCCTTTTCCTGGCCCCAGTGTGTGTACACATGATTTGCAAAGCTCTAGTCCCATGGAGGAACAGCCTAGTCCTTAGAGTCTGTATGCCTAAATATGATGTGGTGACTCTTTTCCATTTGAAAAATATAGCCATGTAGCCATCTCTACTACCACTTAACAGTTCTTTTAAGTAGAAATATCAGAATTGAACTAACCATTCTTCAGCCCCCAAATAGTGGTATCATTGTCAGAGGTGACGTGGGGCCCACAGAGGGGTGCTGAGTTGTCTGTGAGTCTTTAAAGTCTGCTGAGCACATCATGAGACTTTTGATTGAATCTATTCATAGATTTCCTTTGCTTAAGTCAGCCTTGCATTTTTGTCTATTTTGAAAATTACAGCACAACTGGAAGCTTGTGTATGTGTGCTTTGTAGCTGTTGATTCAATACCTGACATAAGCGGCTCACCCTATGTTCAAAGAACAAAAGCCATTCCCTTAAAATAATTGGCTTTACTTAGATGACTGATTATAATCCTTTTTGCAAAGCTCTACTTTTTTTTTAACTGTCAAGATCAGCCTGTGAGCACAGGCTTTGAATTCTACTGTTGGTCTTAGCATAAATGTCATAGTTTCAGGGTGTGTTAGTTTTGTTTGGGTGCATTTGGAGAATTTGGGGGAGAAAAGGTAAATGAGTATCTCAGTGGACATGTCTTTATAAAATCTAGTTGCAGCTGCTTGTAGATTGTTACTAATTTCCTGTGTTTTCACTCCTGATTAATAAATTACACTATTCTCGGCTCAGTTTGATTCTGTTTGGATTATATATCATTTTTCTTTCTTATAATTTTTCCTGAGAAATTATGATTAGTAATGGAAGGTCTTTAATAGAAGAAAAGATGAATCTGTCTTTTGAATATCTGGAAAAAATCTGATGGGGAAAACAAATCTTGCATGAAACACAGGTGGCTTGATGTTTTAGCCTGAGGTTTTGATGGGGGAGGATAAGGAAGGAAGATGATAGACTATTGTATACAGTTCAAAAAGAGACCGTGAAAACTTGAACATGAGAGTGAATACATGAGAAAAAAGTCACAGGGCTGGCATTGCAGGAAGATGGGACCTGGCTATGTGCCACATCTTCAGAGGTTAGAGAATGGCTTCATTGTAGTGCTGGAGTTGTGTGCCTGACTGTGGACTCACCTCTGGACTGCCTCCTTCCCGCTGTGCCAGTGCTCCTGTCTGTCAAGGAGCTTGATGGAGGTAGCCAGCACTGCGTGGGCAGAGGCTGGCTTCTCTGTCAGCATTGTCAACAGAAAGTGTTTTGAACTTTTTAAAAGTCTTAGGTGGATTAGCTTTTTATTCTAAATTGTTCCCATGTGCTGTGAGTGAGGTATCAGTCATTGGTTTGTTATGCAGTAGAGGTGATGCCATTCATCACCTGCTACAATTTGGAATAAGGGTATCAGGCTAGAACCTAACCAAGATCTGGGTCTATAACTTCCAGTAAGGCCCCTCAATCTTTGAAGAGTAGCATTTCATAAAGAGTACATGTTCAAACTGTGGGATGCATTTGAGCCTCAGCTCTTACTAGATGTTTGTTGGACTTGGTGGTTCTAACTCTGGATCTCAAGTTCAATGCTACTGCTATCCTGCAATCTGCTTGATGCTGTTTGTGAAGACCATTGGTTCTTGCACCACAGTGCTGTGCAGTGCTGTTCACAGCCTGGAGTATGTGTATATCCTATGCCTTAGGTAGAGACGTGCCCAGTTTGGCTCAGATATCCTTGGCTGCGGGCTCTTGGCTTCTGGTGGTTAGAACAGGAATGACTCATGACCTAGAGGTAGAGAATGGACACAAGTGTTTCTTTCTGCCAGCCTGGATAGCCATTCCTGTCCTGCCAGACCTGGCCCATTGCTCTGAATGAGGTCTTTCCTTATCTCCAGTAGGTCCCTCTGTCTTCCTGGAACCTAGCACTTCCTCTGGATGTGCTGGTACAGATAACAGAGCACACTAATGCATCCTGTCTAAAACTGTTATTCAATGCTAATTTACTGCCTTTGTGGACCCAGTGATACAAGACAGGCTAGTTTGTTATTTTATGCAGAGGTAAAAATTAAAGCTATCTTAAAAATTGACAACTCATTTCAAATTTCGAAATGTCCTGTGTGAACTCTAGGTCATACCTGGCCTGGAGACCTCTAGTGTACAATGTATGCTCTGGACCTGCCCCCCCCCCCCCCCCCCCCCCCCCCCCCCCCCCCCCCGCCAACTGGCTATATATCACTGGGAGACTGTCTTTCTTACTTTTTTGCTGCTGTGATAAGGCAACATGACCAAGGCAATTTAGTGAAGAGCTTATTGGAGTTAATGTGTCCAGAGGGATAGTCTATGGTGGTCATGGCTGGGGACATAGCATTGGTCAGGCAGTGCTGGAGCAGTAACTGAGAGTTTACATCCTGGTGTACAGGCTTGAGGCAATGAGAGCTAAGTAGGAACGGTGTGCATTTTTAAAACTTCAGATCCCAACTCCCAAGTGGCAAAGCTCCCCCAACAAGATCACACTTCTTAGTCCTTCTCAGATAGTCCGAACAACTGGGGACCAAGCATTTAAAATATGTGCCTGGAGCAGGGGTAGGGGTGGGGAATGTCATCCTTTTAAACTGCCACAGAGACTTTGTTCAGCTCCAGCAGTCCCACTGAGCTGTCTTTTCCCATAGCTGGTGTACCAATGTCAGACTCCTTCCAAGATCCTAAAAGGAAGAGGTTAACCTCTCACCCAACTCATGGGCAAGCCTCCTCAGACTGGCCCAGCCCCGTCCCTGTTCACTAATTATCTCCCACCTGCCAGCTGGCAAAACTGACCATGAACCCATTCAATCTTCCAGAAAACACCAAGAACTTGTCTTGGTATTAAATAAGCCGGAAGTAGACAGAGCTGACTCAGGGCCAGGTCCACCTAGATACCTTGGGAAGGAAGGAAGGATGCAAATTGTCCTGACTTTGTGAAACCACCACCCTGTCCTGAGAAATAGGGGACATTATTAGTGTGTTCAAAGCTTCCTGCCTGAACTGGAGCCCTAGCATTTATGTAACACCGACTGAGGTGGAGAGTGACTGGGAGTTGGTGAGCCTGGATATTGATCTGGGAAAAACAATAAATCTGTTTTTACTTTTTAAAATTTGTTGTTGTTATTATTATTGACACTGGGCCTCCTACATGCTAGGAAAGCACTACTGCCCCTGAGCTCTGGCCCTCTGCTTTGCTTTCTTGCAAAGAGTACAGATGACAGTCTGGATTCTAAATTGTACATCTCTGCTCTTTCCTCATAGGAGAATAACTTGATGGTGAGGGATAGAGCAAATGCCGATTAGAACACTGCTCTACCAGTAAATGCAGGTCCTATCCTTGATGAGCTCAGAGCTTGGTGGAAACTTCTTCCAAGGCAGCCTGGAGGTGAAGGAGAGGGCTATGCCAGTGAAAGGAAGTCCTATTGAGTTAGAAAGCTCCAGGGAAAAACAGGAAGTACCCAGACTTCATGACAAAGCCAAAGGCTATACCCATGGAGGTTGTAAACACTCAAAAAGTTGTGTACAGTTATTCAAGTTTGGTTAAAAAAAGATTGTCATACAAGTGGCCAGTGTACCTGAAGACACTATGCAAGGATTGTAAGGCGTGGGCACAGGCCCTGTAACCTGTTTCTTTTTAATCAAAAACAGTATTAAACAGAACCCCACACGTGATCTGACATGCACATAGATCTGTCTGAGGAAGTGAGAAGGCAGCAAGTCATGAGTGAGAAAAATGGACATTTAAATATTGTCTGAAACCCCTCCGAGAGATTTTAAGTCACAAATACCTAGTTTCTTCATCTTAATTTGATGTTGTATGTCTAGGCATTAGTGCAGAATGGTACATTAACCCATGTTGCAGGTGAGGCTGTGGGTTCAAAGAGACTCGGTCAGTGGGAAATGAGGCTCAAATGGAACCAGAGTAGGGTGAGGAAAACCCCTTTTCTGCAGTGTTCCTCATGAGCCTGGCTCCCTGGAAAGGCCGGAGCCTTTGACATGAAAGGGCAAAGGGACAACATTTTGCTTTCTTGTCTCTCTTCACAGCCCATTTTTCCTTTCTGGTTTCAGGTTGCCAGGCATTCTGCAGTCCCCTGTCATTGGTCAGTAATTCCCTGGGTCATGTTCCACTCTTAAAGATGGAGGTAATTGCTTCAAGATGTGGCCCTTTAAGGAGAGACTGAGTTGAAAGGCAGCCTTTTTTTTTTTTTTTTTTTTTAATCAGCTCCTCAGGACCTGAGCCTTGGAAAAAAGAAATGACCAGTTGTTCCAAAATGTAAATTCTCTGTCATTTCTGAGATACAATATGTTCTTGTACTTCAAGAGAGGGACAAGTGATAATTTTGTTCACTTTTTCCCCCCTAAAGCATCCTTACCCAGTTTCACAATCAGTGAAGTGAGTCTTCCATGCCCCTCCTCCTCCTTGCCCTCTTCCCTTTAAATTGCAGGCAACCTTGAAACAGTTAGGAGCAGG